ATATTCAAAAATTGAGAAAATCAGGAAGGGGGCAAATACTTGAAGGGGGCGTGGATCAGAAAACCAGCCAGTATCTGGTATGACCACAATTTGCCTCATGCAGTGCGACACATCTCCTTCGCATAGATTTGACCAGGCTGTTGATTGTGGCCTGTAAAATGTTGTCCCACTTCTCTTCAATGGCTATGCGAAGTTGCTGGAAATTGGCGGGAACTGGAACACGTTGTAGTACACGTGGATCCAGAGAATACCAAAAATGCAGAATGGGTGACATGTCTGGTGAATATGCAGGCCATGAAAGAACTGGGACATTTTCAGCTTCCAGGAATTGTGTACAGATCCTTGTGACATGGGGCCGTGCATTATCATGCTGAAACATGAGGTGATGGCGGCGGATGAATGGCACCATAATGGGCCTCAGGATCTAGTCACGGTATCTCTGTGCATTAAAATTGCCATCGATAAAATGCAATTTTGTTTGTTGTCCGTAGCTTATGCCTGCACATACCATAACCCCACCACGCCCATGGGGCACTATGTTCACAATGTTGACATCAGCAAACCGCTATCCCACACAACACCACACATCTGCCAACTGCCCGGTACAGTTGAAACCGGGATTCATCCATGAAGAGCACACTTCTCCAGCGTGCCAGTGGCCATCGAAGGGGAGCATTTACCACTGAAGTCGGTTACGATGCAGAACTGCAGTCAGGTCAAGACCCTGGTGAGGACGACGAGCATGCAGATGAGCTTCCCGGAGACGTTTTCTGACCGTTTGTGCAGAAATGATTTGGTTGTGCAAACCCACAGTTTCATCAGCTGTCCGGGTGGCTGGTCTCAGATGATCTCGCAGGTGAAGAAGCCGGATGTGGAGGTCCTGAGCTGGCGTGGTTACACGTGGTCTGCGGTTGTGAGGCCGGTTGGACGTACTGCTCACTAACAGTAGCTCAATTGGAAGAGCATGGCGCTTGTAACGCCAGGGTAGTGGGTTCGATCCCCGGGACCACCCATACGTAAAAATGTATGCACACATGACTGTAAGTAGCTTTGGATAAAAGCGTCTGCTAAATGGCATATTATTATTATTAACAGGGATGTAAGCTAATTTGTGCACAACATTTGAGAGAAATAAGCTTTTTGTGCATATGGAACATTTCTGGGATATTTTATTTCAGCTCATGAAACATGGGACCAAAACTTTACATGTTGCGTTTATATTTTACTTCAGTATACTTTTTACTCCAAACATTTTCTCTGACACCCAAAAGTATTCTTTACATTTTGAATGCTTAGCAGGACAGGGAAATGGTCCAATTCACACACTTATCAAGAGAACATCCTTTGTCATCCCTACTGCCTGTGTTCTGGCAGACTCACTAAACACAAATGCTTCATTGTAAATTATGTCTTAGTGTTGGGGTATGCCCCTGGCTATCCATAAATAAAATAAATACAAGACAATTGTGCTGTCTGGTTTGCTGAATATAAGGAATTTGACATTATTTCTACTTTTACTTTTGATACTTAAGTATATTTTAGCAATTACATTCACTTTTGATACTTAAGTATATTTAAAATCAAATACTTTTTAGACTTTTACTCAAGTAGTATTTTACTGGGTGACTTTCACTTTTACTTTAGTAATTTTCTATGAAGGTATCTTTACTTTTACTCAAGTATGACAATTGGGTACTTTTTCCACCACTGAGTTTATTACACAGTTATAACTTGCACTGATACATTGGATTATATCTAATCAGATCCTGGTCCAGTTAAAATTTGGACAGCACTGACATGCAAAATCCCAGTGGCTCAATATACACTGAGTGTACAAAACATTATGAACACATTCTCTTTCCATGACATAGACTGACCAGGTGAATCCAGGTGAAAGCTATGATCCCTTATTGATGTCACTTGTTAAAGTGGCAATATGTAACTTTTTGGGCAACCTGGCCAAATTCACATAGAAATGTGAGTTATAGATCTTTCATTCTACTTGAAAGCAAGTGTAAGAAGTGGTAGATCTGTTCTATGTGCACTATTTCTATGCTTCCTGTTCTTAAGTTGTGTTTTTGCGTCTTTTACTTTTGGTTTTGTACACCAGCTTCAAACAGCTGAAAATACAATATTTTTGATTATCGAAAATATATTTCACAGAGGTTTAGATGGTACGATGATTCTCTACACTATACTATCTTATTTTGTTACATAAACTGAAATTAGGCGAACTAGAGTTTTAGCAACCAGGAAATGGCGGAGCGAGTTCTGCATAGTGCACCTTTAAATCCACTTCAATCAGTGTAGATGAAGGGGAGGAGAAAGGTAAAGAAGGATTTTTAAGCCTTGAGACAATTGAGACATGGATTGTGTATGTGTGCCATTCAGAGGGCGGGCGGTGGGGGATGCAACTCAATATTAGGAAGGTGTTCTTAATGTTTGGTATACTCAGTGTATAACTATGTACTTTGTAGGATAAAATACTATTGTATTGACAACTGCCCGTTTTGCCATTTTATTGGTCTTGCACAAAGATAAAGATTTCAGCAGCAGTTTTCAGGAGAAAGGTACTCAAAAGGGGTCAAATGCCAGGGACATTGGGGTATGAAAAGTGAAAGGTGATATCTATTGAAATGGAAGAGCATAAAGCATAATGACAGCCGCCCCCTCCCTTCTTGCCATCAGCCCTTCTCTTGTCTGTTTCCTTCCTTATTTCTAACGGTTGTAAATGGCACCCGCAGCTTATTCAGGCGCCAACACGCTCTACCACCCAGCCAGAGGGGCCGCCGGGCCGGTGTTGCATCAGATAATATTTATATTCATTACATTCATTGCATTTGCAAATAAGTCAAGGCCAAAGGCAATTGTTTTATGTGCTCCATATCAAGGCACAATCAGCCATTTGACCTTTCACCCTCTTTGCATTTTGCGTGCAGACCAGACCAGAGAGAAACAGTGTGTGTGGGTGTGTGTCCTGTGTGAAACGGTTTATTAGTAGTAGGCTGCTTCTAATGCTGCTGCTTCTGCTCTGTTGACAGCTGTGAGCACATACAATTGTGTGAATTAGCCTGGCGAGTGCTGCTGTTAATCTATATATCGCCATGCCACAGTGGCCCCTGCCAAACAGGTCAGTCTCTAGTCTAGTCTTCCCCACATTTGGTAGAGACTCTGCACTGGCATTTATGACAAACCTTTCCCAGTGGGTTATCCTATGGATGACTGATCTAGGCTGTTATAGGACAGGTGAAAATAGAGAGTACGGTAATACATTGCCTTGCAAAAGTATTCATCCCCCTTGGCGTTTTTCCTATCTTGTTGCATTACAACCTGCAATTTAAATGGATTTTTATTTGTATTTCATGTAATGGACACACACAAAATAGTCCAAATTGGTTAAGTGAAAAAAAAAAATATATATATAAAATATAAATAACGGAAAAGTGGTGCGTGCCTATGTATTCACCCCCTTTGCTATGAAGCCCCTACATAATATCTGGTGCAACCAAATACCTTCAGAAGTCACATAATTAGTTATATAAAGTCCACCTGTGTGCAATCTAAGTGTCACATGATCTTAGTATATATACACCTGTTCTGAAAGGCCCCAGAGTTTGCAACACCACTAAGCAAGGGGCACCACCAAGCAAGCGGCACCATGAAGACCAAGGAGCTCTCCAAACAGGTCAGGGACAAATTTGTGGAGAAGTACAGATCAGGGTTGGGTTATAAAAAAAGATCAGAAACTTTGAACATACCACAGAGCACCATTAACAAACCTGCCAAGAGAGGGCCGCCCACCAAAACTCATGGACCAGGCAAGGAGGGCATTAATCAGAGAGGCAACAAAGAGACCAAGGATAACCCTGGAGGAGCTGCAAAGCTCCACAGCAGAGATTGGAGTATCTGTCCATAGGACCACTTTAAGCCGTACACTCCACAGAGCTGGGCTTTACCGAAGAATGGCCAGAAAAAAGCCATTGCTTAAAGAAAAAAATAAGCAAACACATTTGGTGTTCGCCAAAAGCCATGTGGGAGGCTCCCCAAACATATGGAAGAAGGTACTCTGGTCAGATGAGACGAAAGTTGAGCTTTTTGGCCATCAAGGAAAACGCTATGTCTGGCGCAAACCCAACACCTCTCATCACCCCGAGAACACCATCCCCACAGTGAAGCATGGTGGTGGCAGCATCATGCTGTGGGGATGTTTTTCATCGGCAGGAAACTGGTCAGAATTGAAGGAATTGGTGGAGAATGATGGATGGCGCTAAATACAGGGAAATTCTTGAGGGAAACCTGTTTCTGTCTACCAGAGATTTGAGAGTGGGATGGCGGTTCACCTTCCAGCAGGACAATGACCCTAAGCATACTGCTAAAGCAACACTCGAGTGGTTTAAGGGGAAACATTTAAATGTATTGGAATGGCCTAGTCAAAGCCCAGACCTCAACCCAATTGAGAATCTGTGGTATGACTTAAAGATTGCTGTACACCAACGGAACCCATCCAACTTGAAGGAGCTGGAGCAGTTTTGCCTTGAAGAATGGGCAAAAATCCCAGTGGCTAGATGTGCCAAGCTTATAGAGACATACCCCAAGAGACTTGCAGCTGTAATTGCTGCAAAAGGTGTCTCTACAAAGTATTGACTTTGGGGGGGTGAATAGTTATGCACGCTGAAGTTTTCTTTTTTTTTGGGGGGTCTTATTTCTTGTTTGTTTCAGAAAAAAATTATTTTGCATCTTCAAAGTGGTAGGCATGTTGTGTAAATCAAATGATACAACCCCCCCCAAAATCAATTTTAATTCCATGTTGTAAGGCAACAAAATAGGAAAAATGGCAAGGGGGGTGAATACTTTTGCAAGCCACTGTAGATCAGAGAATAATCATTTGTTTGTCTGTTGTTTGTTTGTCTGTTCCTCTGTCTGGACTCTGGAGTAATACAGGGCACAATGGCACTGTTTGAATCTGCTGTGCTCTAAAGACTAGACACTTTGCATTGCAAATGAACAACCCTCTCAATTTGCCTACTTTCTTTCTATACCCAGCTGGTCCAGACCCTGATGACAGCACGCAATACTACACCACTCAGCCTATTGGCCAGTCCCAGGATGTACAACAGAGTCACCAGCACCATCAAGCTGTCTCTAACCAGGCTCCTCTGCAGGCCCATGGTAACTACCACCCCAGCTCCAGCTATGAAGTTCACAGTTCCAGATATAGTCCCATGGGACACCACCCCAAGGCGTTCGACTGCCCAAGCATCCAGATCACATCCATCAGTCACAGTCACCAAGAGCTGGGCTCCAGCCAGGATGCCGTGCTCATCAGCGGGGCAGACGGCGGGGGGGAGTGCAGCCGTGAGCGTTCCTCATCCAGGGACCACCTCTACCTGTCCCTGGACCCTTGTTACAGGGACTCATCTTCCCTGAACCTCAGCCCCTGCAGCAGCCTGTCTTCCAGGAGCTGGCTGTCTGACATGTCTTCCTGCGAGTCCTTCTCCCACGTGTACGACGACGTGGAGGCTGAGCTAAACGAGGCGGCCGCCCGCTTCACCCTGGGCTCCCCGCTGGCCTCTCCCCTGGCCTCCCCTGTCTGCTCCCCACAGGGCCAGGCCGCAGGGGGATTCGGGGTAGAGCTGTGGCAGCAGCAGTACTTCATGAGCACCGACTCCCTCTCGCCCCGCCAGTCCCCTCGCCAGTCGCCCCACCAGTCCCCTCGCCAATCGCCCCGCCAGTCCCCCTGTCACTCCCCGCGCAACAGCGTCACAGATGAGAACTGGCTGAACCCGCGTCCCACCTCCAGGTCCGGCTCAAGGCCCACATCCCCTTGCGGGAAAAGACGGCACTCCAGTGCAGACGTCCACTTAGCCTCCCCCTCCCCCTCCCCACACCACTCCCCCAGTCCCACACCGGGTCACTCTCCCAGGGGCAGTGTGACAGAGGATACCTGGGTGGTTGGAAGCCCTGGTGCCATGGGGGCCCTCCTGTACAGCTTCCCTGAGGTAGACGTTCCCTCCAAGACCAGGAGGACCTCTCAGCAGGCTCACATGAGTCTAATGCAAGCACAGGGAGATTCAGGGCAGGGGCTGGAAGACCAAAGAGCTGCTTTGCCTTACCTGGACTCACCTGCAGAGGAGTCTGGGTCTACTCTAAAACAGGATGGCCTTTTTGAAGAACTTTTTCTCTCGGTTCCCTCACACTTCACCTGGAGCAAACCCAGACCTGGCAACACACCCCTTTTCAGGTTTGTTATTCATAATCACATCGGCATCAATACTCACATGCGTGCTTCATCATGTCAACCACACGTGTTGTCATTTCCCCGATCACTCAGTATGGTGCAGACATTGTACTACCATAGCAATCCTAGCAAGGCAAAGGGTCAGGAGAGCTTAACTAGAGGTGAAGAACAAAACACCAACCCCCATGGTATTTTTAACACCAAATCTGAATGACTGTATTTTTATGAGAAAGAACGTCTGGGTCATATTCATTAGCGCACACACGCTGTAGAAAAACGTAGCAAAACGTAGCTAAAATAAATACATTAAACATTTCTTATTGGACAAGTTCAGGTAGTCCCTCCCTGTTTCAGTCTGTTTTCTTCCATTTGCTGCCTAATTAATACAGCCCTGTGTTGTCTCCCCCACCCAGGACCTCGTCCCTGCCCCCTCTGGACTGGCCCCTTCCCAGCCAGTTTGGCCAGTGTGAGCTGAAGGTGGATGTGCAGCCGCGGGGCCACCACAGGGCCCACTACGAGACAGAGGGCAGTCGGGGGGCCATCAAGGCTGCCTCAGGAGGGCACCCTTTAGTCAAGGTAAAAAGCAAGTATTTCACAAAATCATGACACCAGACCTGGATTCAATTAGTATTTTCACTTGGCAAGCTCAATAGATTTAAATAGAATGTGTATTTAGACACATTCTATTTAAATCTATTTAAGTCTGCATGACAAATGTATGTATAGAGGGTCACTGTCAGGCTCTCACCTAGAAGATCAATATGATCACTGTCAGGCTCTCACCTAGAAGATAAATATGATCACTGTCAGGCTCTCACCTAGAAGATAAATATGATCACTGTCAGGCTCTCACCTAGAAGATAAATATGATCACTGTCAGGCTGTCACCTAGAAGATAAATATGATCACTGTCAGGCTCTCATCTAGAAGATCAATATGATCACTGTCAGGCTCTCACCTAGATCAATATGATCACTGTCAGGCTCTCACCTAGATCAATATGATCACTGTCAGGCTCTCACCTAGAAGATCAATATGATCACTGTCAGGCTCTCACCTAGAAGATCAATATGATCACTGTCAGGCTCTCACCTAGAAGATCAATATGATCACTGTCAGGCTCTCACCTAGAATATCAATATGATCACTGTCAGGCTCTCACCTAGAAGATCAATATGATCACTGTCAGGCTCTCACCTAGAATATCAATATGATCACTGTCAGGCTCTCACCTAGAAGATCAATATGATCACTGTCAGGCTCTCACCTAGAATATCAATATGATCACTGTCAGGCTCTCACCTAGAAGATCAATATGATCACTGTCAGGCTCTCACCTAGAAGATCAATATGATCACTGTCAGGCTCTCATCTAGAAGATCAATATGATCACTGTCAGGCTCTCACCTAGAATAACAATATGGTTGTGCTATTAATACTCTGCAAACTTTGAGGCTCTCCAAGAGATCAAAGCAAAACAGAAAATGGTTAAAACTTTATGCCTGGTTCGCATAACAAGTTGTGTTTTGATGAACTGCTGTTTGCAGTTCCATTGTAACCTTGAAGTGTCAATCAACGTGTGATATCCTGAGATATTAAAGGAAGTGTTACATTGAATTGACTATGTATGATAAGTTGAGTAGGCGTTTTGTTCAATTACTCACTGTTGTTGCTTGAATCTGACATTTATTTAACAATGTTATCAGAGGTTTGTGAAGGTTGTTGATATACAGTATATTAGGTTCAGTAAATATGGGGGTAGCGTATTCAAACCCAACCAACTACAAAAGCACTGGAGGCACTAATCTCATACTGTACAGCAAAAATATACAGAGCTCCTACCTCCCACCTCGCTCTCTTTCTCTCTCGCTCTCTCAGTTTATTGACATTGCATTATGTAAACGATTGATACATGGTAACCCTCAGACAGACAGCCTGTTATTGTACACTAACAGCGCTTCATTTAACACAGGACCGCGCAAGCATGTGTGTGTACGTGTGAGCTTTATGTTTAGTGTATTCAGAAATGAGAGCCAGAGTCCACAAGTGACCTTAAGTTCTTAACATGTTTGACCACATCAAGCATTGCCTTGGAAATCATAACTCCAGTAAACAACTACACTGTGCTGTGAATCACTACATGAGAGAGGAGGGATCTAAGGTTTATATGCATTAAACCCACTACACTCTAGAGTATAGTCACTAAATAGTCTCTCTAAATAGTCACTCTAAATGCATATACACCAATAACCACAACCACACCCTCTGATCCCTCAACATTTGAAGTAATCTGGGCTCGGGGTGTCACACCATGGGTATCACCAGAGCCATGGCTCAGGGTATCACCTAACATCTAGCAGAACACTATTTGCCAGTGGACTGTAGTGAGACTGTATCACCTAACATCTAGCAGAGCACTATTTGCCAGTGGACTGTAGTGAGACTGTATCACCTAACGTCTAGCAGAACACTATTTGCCAGTGGGCTGTAGTGAGACTGTATCACCTAACATCTAGCAGAACACTATTTGCCAGTGGACTGTAGTGAGACTGTATCACCTAACATCTAGCAGAGCACTATTTGCCAGTGGACTGTAGTGAGACTGTATCACCTAACGTGTAGCAGAGCACTATTTGCCAGTGGACTGTAGTGAGACTGTATCACCTAACTTCTAGCAGAACACTATTTGCCAGTGGGCTGTAGTGAGACTGTATCACCTAACTTCTAGCAGAACACTATTTGCCAGTGGGCTGTAGTGAGACTGTATCACCTAACTTCTAGCAGAGCACTATTTGCCAGTGGACTGAAGTGAGACTGTATCACCTAACTTCTAGCAGAGCACTATTTGCCAGTGGGCTGTAGTGAGACTGTATCACCTAACTTCTAGCAGAGCACTATTTGCCAGTGGACTGTAGTGAGACTGTATCACCTAACATCTAGCAGAACACTATTTGCCAGTGGGCTGTAGTGAGACTGTATCACCTAACATCTAGCAGAGCACTATTTGCCAGTGGGCTGTAGTGAGACTGTATCACCTAACGTGTAGCAGAACACTATTTGCCAGTGGGCTGTAGTGAGACTGTATCACCTAACTTCTAGCAGAGCACTATTTGCCAGTGGACTGTAGTGAGACTGTATCACCTAACTTCTAGCAGAACACTATTTGCCAGTGGGCTGTAGTGAGACTGTATCACCTAACTTCTAGCAGAGCACTATTTGCCAGTGGACTGTAGTGAGACTGTATCACCTAACTTCTAGCAGAGCACTATTTGCCAGTGGGCTGTAGTGAGACTGTATCACCTAACTTCTAGCAGAGCACTATTTGCCAGTGGACTGTAGTGAGACTGTATAATCTAACGTCTAGCAGAGCACTATTAGCCAGTGGACTGTAGTGAGACTGTATCACCTAACTTCTAGCAGAGCACTATTTGCCAGTGGACTGTAGTGAGACTGTATCACCTAACTTCTAGCAGAGCACTATTAGCCAGTGGGCTGTAGTGAGACTGTATCACCTAACTTCTAGCAGAGCACTATTAGCCAGTGGGCTGTAGTGAGACTGTATCACCTAACTTCTAGCAGAGCACTATTTGCCAGTGGACTGTAGTGAGACTGTATAATCTAACGTCTAGCAGAGCACTATTAGCCAGTGGACTGTAGTGAGACTGTATCACCTAACTTCTAGCAGAGCACTATTTGCCAGTGGACTGTAGTGAGACTGTATCACCTAACTTCTAGCAGAGCACTATTAGCCAGTGGGCTGTAGTGAGACTGTATCACCTAACTTCTAGCAGAGCACTATTAGCCAGTGGGCTGTAGTGAGACTGTATCACCTAACTTCTAGCAGAGCACTATTAGCCAGTGATCTGAAGTGAGACTGTATCACCTAACATCTAGCAGAACACTATTAGCCAGTGATCTGAAGTGAGACTGTATCACCTAACTTCTAGCAGAGCACTATTTGCCAGTGGGCTGTAGTGAGACTGTATCACCTAACTTCTAGCAGAGCACTATTAGCCAGTGATCTGAAGTGAGACTGTATCACCTAACATCTAGCAGAACACTATTAGCCAGTGATCTGAAGTGAGACTGTATCACCTAACTTCTAGCAGAGCACTATTTGCCAGTGGGCTGTAGTGAGACTGTATCACCTAACTTCTAGCAGAGCACTATTTGCCAGTGGGCTGTAGTGAGACTGTATCACCTAACTTCTAGCAGAGCACTATTTGCCAGTGGGCTGTAGTGAGACTGTATCACCTAACATCTAGCAGAACACTATTAGCCAGTGGACTGTAGTGAGACTGTATCACCTAACTTCTAGCAGAGCACTATTTGCCAGTGGGCTGTAGTGAGACTGTATCACCTAACTTCTAGCAGAGCACTATTTGCCAGTGGGCTGTAGTGAGACTGTATCACCTAACTTCTAGCAGAGCACTATTTGCCAGTGGGCTGTAGTGAGACTGTATCACCTAACTTCTAGCAGAGCACTATTTGCCAGTGGGCTGTAATGAGACTGTATCACCTAACTTCTAGCAGAGCACTATTTGCCAGTGGGCTGTAGTGAGACTGTATCACCTAACTTCTAGCAGAGCACTATTTGCCAGTGGACTGTAGTGAGACTGTATCACCTAACATCTAGCAGAGCACTATTTGCCAGTGGACTGTAGTGAGACTGTATCACCTAACGTTACAGAAACTATTTGGCCAGTGGGCGGTAGTGAGAACTGTATCACCTAACGTTAGCAGAACACTATTTGTGCCAGTGGGCTGTTAGTGAGACTGTACACCTAACTTCTAGCAGAGCACTATTTGCCAGTGGACTGTACCAGTGAGACTGATCACCTACATCTAGCAGAGCACTATTGCCAGTGGGCTGTAAGTGAGACTGTATCACCTAACTTCTATGCAGAGCACTATTTTGCCAGTGGACTGTAGTGAGCATGTATCACTCTAACATCCTTAGCAGATCACATTTGCCGTGACTGTAGTGATACTGTATCACCTAACTTCTAGCAGATCACTTTTTTGCCAGTGACTGTATTGAGACTGTATCACCTAACATCTAGCAGAGCACTATTTGCCAGTGGGCTGTAGTGAAGAGACTGTATCACCTAACTCTAGCAGAGCACTATTTGTGCCAGTGGACTGTAGTGAGACCTGTATCACCTAACTCTAGCAGAGCACTTTGTGTCCAGTGGGCTGTAGTGAGACTGTATCACCTAACTTCTAGCAGAGCACTATTGCCAGTGGACTGTAGTGAGACTGTATCCTAACCTAACATTAGCAGAGACTAACTAACGTCTAGAGCACTATTTGCCAGTGGACTGTAGTGAGACTGTATCACCTAACATCTAGCAGAGCACTATTTGCCAGTGGACTGTAGTGAGACTGTAGCACCTAACTTCTAGCAGAGCACTATTTGCCAGTGGGCTGTAGTGAGACTGTATCACCTAACTTCTAGCAGAGCACTATTTGCCAGTGGACTGTAGTGAGACTGTATCACCTAACTTCTAGCACAGCACTATTTGCCAGTGGACTGTAGTGAGACTGTATCAACTAACGTCTAGCAGAGCACTATT